ATCCACTCGCTCACTACAAATGGTTTTGGAAGCGAAATGGGTAGGGGGGAAGGAGATGGGTCTGACCCAGACTATCCCCATATTTACAGGCTTCGGGCCCTCCACACCAGACCCACGGATTCACAGAGAAATACACAAAACATTTTACACCGAAGATTATTTTTGTTTCCGTACACTCCCAGATCAGGCCTTGTGGGGCCTACCCAGGCGGCAGGAACTCAAATCCCACTATATACCTTCCTTCTTCTCAACATCACCCCCTTGGTCCTCCCTGGCCCCTTCCCACCCTAGGCCCAAGCCACTAGGAGACTTGGGCCTGGGGAGTGGAGAGGGAGGAGGAAGAGGAGGGCAGAAAGAGACACAGTCATGGACTCCATCTCGAGGCCAGCTCAGCTGGGCCCCGGCACTGCGGCACCGCCCCACCTCAACTGCTGCCCCTTAGAGAAGTTTCTAGCAGAAACTCAAAATACAGCAATCATCCTTTTATAAATAAGTTAGAACAAGATGGGGAAGGGAAAGTTCACATTAAACATGCGAGTTTCTTTTCTTCCTGGAGGAAGGAGTGCAACCACAGACACGAACATTCAGAAACACTGGTGGATTTGGGGTGAGCAGAGGGGAGCGAGGAGCATGGAGGGAAAATAATAATTATCATTATTATTAACAATAATAACAAGATTAACCAGTCCAGGAGAGAGGGTGCCACAGGAAGATCTAAGACCAAACGAAAAATCGTAACACAAGGCCGGGGCGAGGCAGGCTCGCGGGAACCAGTCCCCAGCGGGCGGCGGCAGCACGGGGAGGCTCTGAGGGGCTGGGGCTGGGGGCGGCAAGGGCTCTTGGGCCGCCCAGGGCTCCTCCCGGAGGGCTCAGGGTTGGAAGGCGCTGCCGGCTGTAGCCAGGCTCATACTTTTCAGTTTGTTATCTTTCTTCCACTTCATGCGCCGGTTCTGGAACCAGATCTTGATCTGGCGCTCGGACAGGCAGAGCGCGTGGGCGATCTCGATGCGCCGCCGCCGAGTCAGGTAGCGGTTGAAGTGGAACTCCTTCTCCAGCTCCAGGGTCTGGTAGCGGGTATAGGCGGTCCGGGCCCTTTTTCCGTCCGGCCCGGTCATATCTGGAGCAGACAGAGGAGAGCCGCGAAGCAACGTTATTCCGGTTGAGGGAGGGGGCACTGGGTGGGAGGGGGGCGTGGAGCAGGACCCAGGCGTCCCCGGCCCCCAGCTCACCGCAGCTCCAATCCTCCCCACTCCAGACGCCCCGCATCCAAGCTCCCTTTCTGCACCCCCTTCTCCTGCAGCCCCCACTTCTGCCGGCAGCGAAGCGCCCGGCTTTGTCTCTGGCTCCCTCCCTGTGCCTCACCCTTGGCTGGGCTCAGGCGGCCGCTGGCCCCCGGGAGGGAGGAGAGCGGCTTCACTTTCGCCCTGGAAATCGCCTTTGACTGCTCACCCCTCCTTTGCTAGCGGCAGTCTCAAAATTTCGGGGGTAAGCAGGACCCTTCCCCACCTTACATAAACCTTATCCTTCATTCAAAAGCCAGTACAGCTGGGCGAATAAAACCTAAGCCGAGTCTGGGAACAAATTATTTAAAAATACTACTCCCCAAACCCCCCCCCCCCGCAGCTAAAGACCTTCTTTGGCTCGGTCCCCTGAGCTGTAAGGACTCTCTTAGAGTCCCTCTGGAAAAAATAAATCTATATTCGAGGAAAAGCCAAGCTCTCCTCGCCGCCCCCCCCCCCCCAAACGCAGAGAAGGAACACCGAGAAGACAAAAAAGGGAGAGAGCGAGAATTACCATGGCTGATGTGAAGCTTCCTCATCCAGGGGAATATCTGCGGAGTCTGCCCTTCGGGCGCGGCTGTGGAGGTGGCCATGGGCTCTGGCTGCGCCCGAGCTAGGCTCGGGCTGTTTAGCTGGCTCGCCGCTTCCTCGGGCTCCGAGGACGCGCTGGCCTCGTCTATTTCGGTGAAATTGGCGCTGGAGCTGGCCGGGGTCGCCTGGTCGGAGGGGGACGAGGCAGAGGGCTTGGCGCCGTGGCTGTCGCCGTTGGTGCAGGGCAGGGACTCAGGCGAGGACAGGGAGCAGCTCGACGCCGCTGGCCTGAAGCGGGGCTCCTGGGCGGGCGCGGGGAACGCGCGCGAGCTCTCGCCCACCGCCCCAAAGTGGCTGGAGGAGGCCGAGGAGCGGTTGACGCTGAGGTCCATCCCATTGTAATTGTAGCCGTAAGAGCCGGTGTGCATGGCAGCGGGATCCCTGTAAGAGCCGCTCAGAGAGCTGCCACTGCCATAATTTAGCAACTGATAGTCCGGGCCATTTGGATAACGCCCCGAGAAGGAGTTTACAAAGTACGAGCTCATTTGGGTGATTTTGGAGGGCTTGATTTGTGGATCGTGGTCGTTATAACCCTGTGCTTCACGATTTATGATGTATTAATGAATTATAGCGATGCACTGTACTTCGTTTTGCTATGTATGCGGCCAAATATGGGGGGGGGGGTTTGGAGGGGGGTGGGGGGGCGTTAGGGAATCACGTGCTTTTGTTGACCAGTCGTAAATTCTCGCTGATGACCTCAAGAGGTAATTCATGCTCTATGGTTACAAATAATGACGATCCGAGAATCGTTAGGGCCGATTCAATGCGAGCCTCCGAGAGAGGGGGAAAAAGGAGAAGGGGGAGAAACGGGGAGAAGGTTGGCGGCGGCCTCTGAGCAGAGCGCGCCACCTCCCGGCAATCGGCGGGAGCGCGGGCCGCAAACCGCCATGGCGGCGGTGGCTCCCTCCCTGCTGGCTCCCCGCAAACGCCGGGAGAGAAAGAAGCCTGGCCTAGAGTTACCCGCAAGGTTGAGTCTCTTAGAGGAGGGACTCGGTTGAGCTTTTACTCACTTTCTTGGGAATGTAGTTACTTCTATTTGTGTTCTTCTCCCTGTCCTTATCATTTTAGCTCTAGATGAAATGATCAAACATTGAGTTGCTTTTCCCTTACTCGGGTTTTGCAAATATCCGAGTTGGGGACGGAAATGGGGGAGAAAGTTGGAAGATATGCGTGAAAAACAATTATTGACACGGAGGTTTCCAACCCCCTCTCGACCTCTCCTGCTTCCTAAGGGGCTACAGTGGCCCTTCCACAGAGCTCGGGCCCAGCCGGCAGGGCTGGCCTGAGGATTTGAAGGAAAGACTTTCGCTTCTCCTGTGTCTTTTAGAAGTTTGGAATCCGTTTCCTGGCCTCCTTCTTAACCTTAGCCCAGCTTGGGGAACGGCAGAGAAGGACAGGAACCCCAGAGGAGGGGTATGGCTGGTGCTAAGCGGCCTAGTTGTGGGGAAAACGGTGGCAGCGACCGCACCGCGTCTGGGGTCTGGGTGAAAACGTGGTTTTGAGAGTTCGGGATCAAGGCGGGCGGCTTTAGCCACCTCACCAGATGCCCGCTATTGCATCGGGAGGCCCCGCTCAAGGCCCCTCGCTGACGTCTGGGTAGTTTCTGAATGTGCCCGGCGGCCCACACCTTCCCTGGGAAGGGGCTCTGAGGATCGGCGGTGCCATGCTGAGCGCGCTGGGCGGCCAGAGACCGCCGCAGCTGGGCCCCGTCTGCTGAGCAGCTATTTTCTTTAAAAATAAAAAAGGGAGAGAGAGAGAAGGAGGAAGAAAGGAAAACAGCGTGCAGCTTGTCGCCCGGGTGAGGGTGGGGGTAGGAGAGAACGGATCGTTTTTGGTGGAGGGGATGAGACCAAAGTCCTATAACCTGGCCTCCTGCCCTCAGGTCTCCAAGGAGCAGAAAGTCGTGCCCTTCAGCCGGCGCCTGCCGATGGCTTCGCAATCCCCTACTTGTCGCTGAACTCCTACTGGAGGCAGGAAAAGGCAGCTGCGGGCGGAGAGATATCCCGCGACCGTGATTTGGTCTCCGGAGCCACAGGCCAGGAGCCGAGGGCCAAGGCCAGCAGAGATGAGGCCCTGCGGGCAGGCCAAAGGCCACGGCCTCAGCAAGTAGGAGGACCGAAAAGCGCCGCTCAGGTGCCAGACCGTCTTGGCTCCGTCTCTGCAGGGGCTCGGGCTAGGGGGCCTCGGTGGGGTCCCTCGTGCCATAGACAAACGAGCAAAAGCTAGAGAATACGAGGGAAACGGCCCTTCTCTGTCTCTCAAGTCTACGCCTAGAGAGGCCATTCAGAGCCTCAGCACAGCCGAGACGCAGCTCTTGAGACCGAGAGGGACCGCTCCAGCCTTTATCTCGACTGTAACTTCCGAGGTCAAGTCATGCCGGCTGGGGCCCACCAGGCTCCAGGCTTCGCTGCGCAGTTTCCGGCACAGAAACCACGGGGCAGTGATGGGGGTGGGGAGTGGCAGGGAGGGAGCAGAGGTGACTGAGCGGCGAGTTTTTACATCTTTATTATCATCATCATCATTATTAATAATATTAATATTATTACCGAAGTATTTCACGTCCAGAGCTAAGACAAGACTACAAACACAACACATAGAAAATTAATAAAATAGAACTTTGTTTTCTTCTCAGGCTCCTCTTCTTACTTCTAGGTAGTATGTGCTCCTTCCAGTGGCTTTCAGGAGGGGGTGGGAGAGAGGTCTGGGGTCAGGGTGTCTTCGGAGGCCCCTGCTGAGGGGACTACGAAGCTACCATTGAACCGTGCACAGGGGACATGGACGAAATGAGACGCGACACGGACAAGAGTGTTTTGCTCTGCTTCCAGGAAACATCAAGTGAGTCCAGTCCTTAGTTCTCACGCGGGGGAGCCTGATGTGGCTGAGGCGGGTTCCGCGGGGATGGAGGGGGCGCGAGGGGTGCTGGGTGGCCTCAGGCGGCACGGCCTTCCAGCGCCCAGCGAGAGCTCTGCGGATGGGGGCGTTCAGGAGAGCGCTGGGCCCCGCCTGTCTTGTGCTGGAGAGCAAGTCCCCGGGCTCCCCCGCCCGCCCGCAGAGCCTTCTCAAGCTCTTCGATGCCCTCAGCTCCCCACGGGCCTCTCCCTTCGCGTTCCCCCTCCCTTTCCAGCGCCTTCACTCCGCTGGTTTCTCTTCCTCCTCCTCCGCACTGAGCTGAGACGCGCTGAGCAGTTTGCTCTCCTTTTTCCACTTCATGCGCCGGTTCTGGAACCAAATCTTGATCTGCCGCTCGGTCAGGCACAGGGCGTGCGCGATCTCGATGCGCCGCCGCCGTGTCAGGTAGCGATTGTAGTGAAACTCTTTCTCCAGCTCCAGGGTCTGGTAGCGCGTGTAGGTCTGGCGGCCGCGTCGGCCGCTGGGCCCAAAGGAGGAACCTGTTACGCAGAGAGGAGATGCTGAGGCCTGGGGTCACCAGGGTCAGAGCCCCCCTTCCTCACTCGACCCTCAAACATGGACTCCAGCCTCTACTCTGCTGTTCCCTGCAGCGCCCCCTCCAGATTCCCTCCGGGCCTCCTCGGCCTGCGCCTCCAGTCTGGACTCTCGGTGGGGGGATGGGAGGAGCAGTTTAAAATCCCACCTGAGCCTAGGGGGAGGGGCTGGTGAAGTACCGACCAGGTGTGTCTCTTCCTAGCTGCAATTTTTTCTTTCCAAACGTGTGGCTCCCCCACCACCGTGTGATAGATTCCAGCCCTTAATCCGTAATGACGTGGATCGATCCATAGTCGGCATTAACGGCTCTCACTCTCGTGTCCCGCTAATGGACATCAATTTGGGACTTAAGGCCGACAAATAATCCAGCCTGAGACCCAGGCGCCTGGTTCTCCCGCTCTCCCCTCCGCCCGCTCCCCCCTCTTTCTTCTTCTCATTCTCCCTCCTTCTTCTGACTACTGCCCCTTTCCTGGTGCCACATCTTTCCCCTGCCCCCTACCCCCAGGGAACCACAGTCCGGGACAGGCTCCACTCTTCCTTGCCAGCGTCACGCCGCCCCCTTTCCCGTGACGCACTCGGTTTTTAATGGAACAGTCGTGCGGTGGGGGACCCGACTAGGACTAAGGGCGCAAGGGAAAGCCAAGCCCTTGCCTGCGACCCCTGACCCGAAGTCCCGGATCTGGCCTGGCGGCCCAGAGAGCCCACTCGCTTCCCTGGCTCAGAGTGTGGCTGGGACTTTGCAAACTTTGTAACTCCTGGGGGCAAAAGGACAGAGTAGCAGACCCAGTGCAGGCGCCCCCCATCTTCCCTTGGATCCTAACTAAGATAGATGCCCAGCCCGCACCCAGTGAGAGAATGGGAAGCTCACTAGTTCTATCTCCCAGGGTGGGTGCCCGCAAGGTTCACGGCAACGGCGGACTCTCACTCACTGTTGCATGAATTCATCCGCTGCATCCAGGGGTAGACGGGCGTGGAGCACTTCTGCTCCTCTGGCTCGCCAAACACGCTCTTGTCCTGCGCACAGTCGGACTTCCGCGGCTCGGGGTGGAAGGGGGGCGGCTCGTCCGCGCCTGAGAGCGCGCAGGCCGACTCCTTCTCGCGGTAGAAGGCCGGTGCCGGGCCGTAGTCGCAGGGCGCCGCTCGGCCGTAGCCGCCGCCCGCCGGCGGGTAATAAGAGGAGGCGGCAAAGCCCTTGTCCTGGCCGGGCCCGGGCCCATAGGGCGCGGGGTAGTGTCTCAGCGGGTCCGCATAGCCGGAGGAGTAGAGCGGTAGCTGGCCCAGGAAGGACTCCTGCCCGCTGGCCAGAGTGACGGGGAAGGTGGAGTTCACGAAATAGGAACTCATTGGGAGGGAGGCGCACACGGCCGCTGCTGCTCCGCCGGGTTTATGATTTGTTGTGTTTTATAGTCCGAGCGCCGAGCCTATTAGTAGTATATCTGAGATTGGGTTTTAGCTGAGGGGGGATGGCGAGGTGCCAGTGAGGGCCAGAAGGAAATACAACCATCTGATCCAACACTGACCAATGGCAGAGGCAGGAATTGTCAAATAGCACCCAGGAGGAGCGCAGCCCGCACGAGGGACCCGCGCACAAACCTATCAACCTTTTTTTCCCCCTCCTTCTTCTCCTTCTCCTTTCTCCCCCCCACCCCCCCAACAACACGACCCGTCCTGTTCCACCTACGTAGGATCTGCGGAAAAAGGCGTCTGTGCCTTTGAGGGAGGAGGGAGCTTTGCACTGAGACCACCCCATCCCCCAGTGATTAAATAAATATATCCCTCCCTTTCCACGCAGGATAGGAAAAAGTTAATTGTGTTTTCAGAAAAGTTAACCCCTGCGTTGCTTGAGCCCCATTCCCTTAAAGAAGAGCGGATAACCACCCCTGAATCTCGAATCTTCATCTGGCTAGGAGAGAGCCAAAGGAGAAGGTTTATTTCTCTGGTTTTGTGTTGGTTGAAGAGGAGTTCTCCGCTAACTAGCATCGTTTTTGGAAAGAGAGAGACGAAAAAAAAAAAAAAAAACTGTCTCCTTCTCAGGTTTTGAAAACCGTTTTTTTCCCTAGTTCTTGTATCTCCTCTGTCTCCTCCAAGTCCCGGATTATTATTTCTGCTTCTCCACAACTCTCATGGTCTGAGAGGCAGGTCACAGCCTGCTGCCCAGAGGACATGGAAGGCCGGGGAATGGGAGGAGGGTCCGAGCCCAAGCTTCTCCCTGTGGCTCTGCAGCTAGGCTCCGAGCTTCCCGGCTGGCTATAGCTGCAGCTGCCCAAGACGTCTCACCTGGTTCCAGTATGCGCCGCCTGCTCTTGGCCTGGGGAGGGGCACTGGAGAAAGGGACTAGTTCTCCCCTCACTGGGGGATAAGGAGAGGAGGTGTGACGGGCATTCCCCCAGCCTCGGTTTGTCTGATCCCTCTCCTGCCTGCAACCTTCACCCCCACCTCCTACCCACAAAGACAGAAGAATATCCTGGGCCACAGATTCTTAGGAATTAAGGTTGTCTCAGAAAGTGGGTATAGGAAAGACCTCGGTCCTCCTCCAATTTGGGGGTCCTCAAACCCTCCTGATTTTTGAGGGCATCAGAAACACCGGGAAGAGAGGGGCCCTCGTACCTTTTTCCAAGTCTCTCCAGAAGCTGGCAGTTGTTGTTGTTGTTGTTTTTAATTACTTATTTCCCAGGATTCGATTCTGGTTTAGGTTTATAGGGAGGGGGGTGGTGTTGGGGTTCTCCAGGGGACTCAGCAGGCAGCTTACAACTATCAGCCCTAATCCCCTCTCCAGATGCTCACCGCTCCCTGTCTCTCTCAGCATCTGTACAGCCCCCTCCCAGCCCCATCTCATTTCTGTATCACTAGCTTTACTGCCTTACAAGCTTGAGTGTGAGAGAGAGTGTATGTCTCCAGCTCTCTCATCTAAAGAAAGTGAACATTGAAGTCAGGTTGGAGGACTGAGCCACAATGTATTGTCAACATTCTGACCTGCACGTGGAGGCCAGGCAGTAAAGAGTGACAGCCTGAGGACCTGAGCTGGGAATGGGCCTGGGTGTGGGACAAAATCTGATGAAGGAGACAGGCTGAGCCTCCACTGTACCTGGCTCTTTGGGCTTCTTTTTGTGGGCCAGCTCTGCCCACTAAAGATGGTAAAAGACACAAAGGAAAATGGTAGAGGGCTGGGGTTGGCGACGGAGGGTGGGAACTGGGTTGGTTGCAGAGTGGGCCTACATGGCTTCCTGAACTCGGGATAGCTTCTAGGCTGCACCTTCATGGCCAAGTGGCAACCCCTCTCTAGCCAGGCTCTACAGTCGTTTCATCAAGATTTAAGAAAAGTAAACTCAAGCTTCCTAGTGATGGGGATTCATAAATGCTCCAATCTAGCTGCGATTGGGCCCATTCCTACAGAAGCATGAGGAGCATTTGGGCAAGATGAGCAGGATGGAAGAGTGCCCATGTGCACCCCCCTCCCTGACACTGAGGCTGGGCCTTGGGCTTCAGACCTCCCTGCCGCTCCCCGGCCACAGTGTCCCCATCCTAGGACTGTGTGGTCTGGCCTGTGGAGTCTGGACAAAGTAAGATTCCCCTGTGATAGAAGCAGGAAAATAATCGCCTTAGCCTTAGAGTCACAGCTCCAAATTAACCTCACCTCTGCAGGTTGCCTGTCGTAGGGAGATGGAGCCGCAAAGGCAGGGCCTGGGCGCCTGTAGTCCAGCATGAAAGGAAATAGCGCCTCATCGCTCTTATCTAAGCCCAGAGGTATTTATGAGCGTTTATTCCTCTGATCCGTTTGTTTGGGAGAAAGAGCAGGCAGGCAGAGCTGGGCCAGAGGCCGCCTGGTTTCTGGAGCCAGATCTCTACGAATCTGTCTGTGGTTCCGTCCACTGCCGCGTCTGTCTGTCTGTCTCCAAGGGGGAATACGTAAATACACAGCAGGCACAGTCGTCGGCCCCTCTGGGGTGTCTCTCCCTGCCTCAACAAGGGAGCGTGTGTAGGGAGAAGTGGATATAAATGTGTACCAATTCTTGAGTACACAACACAAGGGTTGTACAAGAAACCCCACAGGCAGGATTTGTAACTGTAGTTTTCTGTACTGCAAATCTGCAGCCCTGTGGACGGACACACATTCCAGTTCCCAGGGAAATGCCTCAGTTGTGCTCAGCTCAGGAGGAAAGTGTTCCTGTATCATCAACCTCAGGGAGGGGTATTTGCCTGTACATGTGCAGAGGGGAGGGGGGACTGAGACATTGTCCAGGCTTCCCCTTTCAGCTACAAAGCTCCCCCGACCCTGAGCTCTTTGGATTGCGGGCACCTTCCCCCACCCCACTTGCAACTCTGGCTGGGGTGTGGCAAATGAAAACACCTCTACCCAATTCTGATACTCTGGGCTTGGGAAATATAAATGTTCCCAGAGGGAGTAATGTGGTGGCTCCCAATCTTTGTGGTGGGAGCTGTTTATATGGGACAAGGCCTTAAAACGGGCCGGTCCAGAGCTCGGTACAAAGACCTCATTTCCATTATGCAAATGAACGACCTCGTCGCGGAGCTGGAGGTGGGGAAGGCTTAGGCACTCAGCTGGCTGTCCCGGTTCCCTCCCCCCAGGTCCACGGGCACCCTAAGAGCCCTGAAGTGTTTTAACCCTCTGTACTAAACGCCGTCCCCTCCCTACCTGTCCTTTGGACTGCCCACAAGAAAACCCCCCAAGGGGCCCAATACTTTCGGGGCGCGCTCCCTCGGGACCTTCCGCCCTGGGCCGGGCCTTCTAATCTCAGGAAAGTCACTCTCGCTGAGGAATAGCTGAAAGCGTTGCCCCTGCGGCCCAGGCTCAGACTCCTGAGGCGCCAAAGGCGCGGGGAGGGGGGGAGGACGGTAGCCCTGGCGTTTGCCCTCAGCACCACGGAGCCGCTCCACCTCGGCAGCCCCTCCAGCTCCAGGCCAGACCCTAGTAACACCTCGGCCTGCCTGGCACCGTAGGCAATTTCCTGGAGCCCCCGCCCAGGAACCGGGGCCACAGCACCTTGAAAGGAATGGCCAGAGCTTCCTCCAGCGGCTTGAAAGCCCGAGCTAATCAGTAACCCGTGAGACAGGGGCCAATATTCAAACGCGGCAGCACAGGCGCGGACCCTCGCCCTCCTGGGAAAGCGGTTAGGTTAAGCGCGTATGAGGGGTACGGCAGGAACGGAAATTACAATGGTTTGATTGCTTCGTGATTGCTCTTTACACCCACTCCCAATTTTTTTCCCATAGCACATTTGTCCATTTCGCTCGAAACGATCGAGAATAAGGGAGAGCCCACACTCACTTTCAGACACCAACAGTTTCCAGAAAATTAGGCTCAATTCCTTCATCACGGACTCACCAGCCAAAGAACTGGCAAGACCCACCAGCAAACCGGGAGAACACTGACCCGGTTGTCTTTTGACAACCGAGTGGAACTGCCGGGCCGGTCGGCGCCTCCTCTACGAGCCCCTCCCTTGGCAGAAAAGAAAACCAAATAAACCTTGAACAGCCTTGGCCTCGGGTCTCCCGAGCGGCCCGGACGATCCCCTCGCGCGCTTGCGGTGGGGGTGAAGACTCGCCCGTTCAGGGCCCCCTGCCCGCGGGATGCAGTATTAGTCCTCTTTAAATACGCCCTAGAAAAAGCCGTTTTCCCAGCCAGCCACCAGGTTTGGAGCCAGGATGGAGAGGGCGAGGAGGAGGGGACACATGTTCTCTAATCCACACACAGGCGCACCGGAACCGAGATTCAGCGGAAAGCGACAATCTGGGCCCGAAGTCCCACGAATCCCGCCAAAGCTGAGCGTCCAGGCTCCAGGCGTCGGGCACGATTCAGGCAGCGTCGCGGGGCTTGCGGCGCCGAAGCCGCATGTCTCCGAACGGACGGTAGATGGCAGCAAACCGCATAATTTGGGTCACAGCAAACTGTCTAAGGGATGATTTATACCATGCCGAGGCTACAGGAGAAAAAGACCTTTAGTCTGGGTGGGTTTGGGGAATTTTCCCTTTGAGATTAGGCTCCAAGTGCCGTGGGTGCTGACCGAGAACTTCTCTGGCTACGCGCAGCGAAGAGTCCCTGTGGGCGCCCGGTCCCGGCCTGCTGGGAGGACATCTACCTGGGCCTCTGAGGGCCCCCTCCCGCGCCACAAGTGGTGGCTGAGTCCCTCTCTTCCCAGTTCAGAACTGAGAAGGCCAATTTCCCCATACACAGCCCCCAGACCCCGCAATCACTTGGCAACCAGAGGCCTGAGGCTAAACGCTCTGTGTCTGGTCTTTAAGAGAAAAGCAATCTCCTAATCGTGCAAATCAAACTAAATCAGTCTCTCCTACCGTCCGCGCCCAAAGTCGCTTATCTCTTGGTGTGCAGCTTCCTCAGAAGTCCTCTCACTCTATTTTTAAGTCCTCACCCAGAGACGGAGCCTTCTTCCACCTCACCAGCTACTTTAGGAGTCTGGGTCTCTAGCCCAAAGGTTCCCCCACCCCCACCCCCAGGAGGCCTGGCTGAGGAATGAAATCAGGCGCCGGAGGGAAAGGACTAGTTTTCTGAGCTCAGCGCCAGGCAGCTTTCTAGTCCGGACACCGTGAAGTCCCCTAATTGGGTTTGTAAAATATTCTTTCTCTTTTTTATATTCATTTACAAGCCTAAAACAATAACACACTAAACAGCTTCTTCGCAATCACCAGGTTTGGATCTAGGAAAGTTTGAAATGTTTCGACATCAGACACACACATGGCAATTTTCTCCTCCACCGAAATCCGCACACCCCCATACCAATAAAACACAAGTACTGTAATAGAATCAATACTGCACAGAAACCAACACACTGTAACCTACCGCGTTAAAAACCACAAAATTTTCTCCCTGCAGAGCGAGGCTCCCTCCTGTGGGAGTGGCGAGAGACCTGGGCATTGTCGGGCAGGCTTCCTGGGGGGTGTCCCTCGATTTGGGTGCCTCCACTTACAGCCATTTAATTTCAGAAATGTCTCCGAAGGGAGGTAATGAGCATTTTTCTGAAAATTGTTCTTTCTGTCTCTCTCTAGCCGCCTCCCAGCCCTCGCTGGCCTCTTTGGAGATCCCAGGCCCTCCAGAGACCAGGACGTCCCTCAGCGCCACCGCCCCTCATGCCAATGCTGCGGGGAAACTGCCGATACCTGAACCGGGCAAGAGAGCGACACGGGGGCAGCTGGGGGAGGCGGAAACGAGGGAGGGAGGGAGGGAGGGAGGGAGGGGGTGGGGGCACAAATCCACAGAGGCCCTAGCAACCGGCTTCTGCGGGTGCCCTGAAGCTCAGACACCCCCATCCTCTCTTTGGCAGCCCCCTCGCTTGAACCTCTCCTCCCAGCTTACAGGCGACTTAGAGCTCGCCTCCGTTCCGTGGCCTCTTTCGGTTCTTCTTCCCATCTTCCCTGCCTTGGCTCCCCCTCCAGGAAGCAGCCACCCCTCTCTCTGCCACCGAATTTCTTGGGAAGCCTCTCCCTGTAGCACCCAGAGGTGGGGTTCAGCCCCGTCTTGGACAGGGGAGGGGGGAGACAAACCCAAGCCCCACCTACAAAAATCGAGGCAAAATAATAAGAGAATTGTAGAATCTCCCTTACCTTTGCAGACCTTGAGGTTCCTTTCCTCCGATTGAAAGGGGTGGGGAGGAAGGAGGGGGGAAAAAAAGAGCGTTCGGTTTCTGCTTCATCTTCCAGATAATATTGTCCCAACCTGAGAGCCGTCGCTTCCCCTTCTCTGACTTGGGAGAGAGGGTGTTTCGCTTTTCTGATATTTGCATAGAAAATGAAGTAAGTTCTGGCTTTGAAAAATGGTATCAGGCTGCAGTCCTGGGCAGATTGTCCATTTACCCTCCATGATGACTAAAATCCCAGATCAGCAAAGAAATTAACTTAGGAATTTAAATTATTTTTGGTTCTCTCTTTTGTGTAATTCCCACCCCTCCTGCCCCCTCTCTCTCTCTCTCTCTCTTCTTTCTTCTCCCCCTCTCTCTTCCTCTCTCTCTCTCTCTTTTGCTTTATCAAACTGATACTGAAGTATAAAAATATCAAGAGGCTGGAGCCCTGAAGGACGACAGTGCTCCGACCTAGGTGTGGTGTCCAAAAGAATGCTGCATTATAACCACCAGGGAAATGATAAAAAGTTCATGTTCACGATCGCCCGGCCACATGACCGGCGCCGGCCAATCGCTGGATTCAACCACTCATAAACTTCTATCACAAAGTTGTAAATTTTCATAAAACAACAAGGAATTTATTGCATTTCTTCATGGCTGCTCCACCAGCAACCCTTTTCTCAGTCGCCATCTTCTTTTCTTCTCCTTCTCGCTTTTTGGGAAAACCCCAATCTGAGAGGGAGAGAGATTTGGGGTGCAGACAATCAGGTTGAGGAGCCACAAGGGTCCAGCTTGGAAGGGGGTTCTTTTGGGAACCTCCCTATTCTCACAAGAGCTCTGCCCCCTCTTCTAGTAAAAATCACCCCAAATACTCCATACGGGGTCTGTTCTCAGGCAATTTTGGGGGGAGTCCGGAGCAGCAGCTGGTGTTCAGAGGTGCCACTCGCATCGAGGCAAAATGAAAGCTTCCGAGCCCCCTCTGCTCCTCTGAACGCCCCTCATTCTTAGCCCTGTTGATGGCGGGACCCCCACCTGTGAGCATGCGGCTTTGCAGATGTGGGGGCTCCAGATCCCCTAGGGCTTAGTTTCCCCCCAGGAAGGTAAGGAGGCCCCGATGGAGGCCAAGATAGACAGTGTAGCAACGGGGTTCTCTCCTCTGCACCCCAGAAACTGGAGGAGGCTAAAGCGGCGCCCCTGCCTCCGCCGCCCAAATGCCCGCGCGCTCGGGCTCCCAGTGGCAACTCCCTGTGCTCTCCAGGGGGCTGCGCGGTCACTAGGAGGGGAAACTGCAGATTTAGGGGCCTTTGACTTACAAATTCAAGTCAACCCGATTCTAAAACGTGCTTCCCTTCCAATCCTCTTTCTCCAGTCCGTCCAAATACTGTTTTTTAAATTTAAGTAATCCAAGGTTTGGAATTGAATAAATACTAAAAATTAGCTCCGTAGGTCTAGCTGCGTAGACGCCAACCTCCGGGGTTCTGTCCCTCAATTAGGGAGTATTTTTTGGAGCAAAAGTAACCACAAGGACAACAAAATTCACCTCGTGTCTCCCAGCCCCCCTGAAATACTACGGTATTTTTGAATTAAGCTACTAGCGCCCAAATTTAGAAACGAAATAACTTCTCCTGAAATGTTTTTCTTTTTTCTCTCTTTCTCTGTGCTCCGGAAAAGATTCCAGGTTGCTGGAAGCGCCGAGACCGGGGCGAAAGGCGTGGAGGAAGCCGGCGAAGCCGGGGCGGGCGGCGCGGCAGGCTCCGAGCTCCGGGATGCGGCCGCACCAGCCGGTGAACTGGGTAAACTCGCACCGCCCCGGCTCTCGTTCCCTCGGCTCGGTTACCCCCACCCACCATTGGAAAGTTTTATGTGGGTCACCGTGTAAATTTAGAATATATATAAATAAATGAAAGTTAAAATAAATGGAAATAAAGTAACCTAATAACTCTTGCGGAAAATATTTGCCGAGGGAGCGGGCAGCCGGGAGCGCCCTGGCTTGAAGGCCGTTCCAGGTCTCTCTGCTGCCGGCCTGGCCTCAGCCCAGCGCGCCCAGGAATCAGAGTGGATTTGGGTGGTCATCTCCCTTCTCTTTCTACTCTTCTTCTGTCCGGGGCCCAGCGCTTTGCCTTTCAGCTGTGTGTGTCCTGGCCGACCGGCCTCAGCCCCCAGTCTGGCTTGAAGGCCCGTTTGAGGAAGTCTGTGGAACTGTAAGGGGTTAGTTTTGTTTTGTTTTGTGAATCTGTGTGATTGAACATGTGGGCACATGAATGTGTTTACTGGAGGGGCGGGATGTGAATCTGTGTGTTTATAAACCAATGTGTGAATGTACACTGCTATGTATAAATGCATCTGTGAGTGAGTGTGAATGTGTTTACTTGTGAGTGTGTGTGAACATAAATGCATGTGTCTGGGCGTGGAGCTGGGATGCATGAATGCCTGCATGTGGATTTGTGAGCATATGAATATGAGTGTTTCTTTGTGACTGTAGGTGACAATGTATATATTTATTTGTGCATCAGCCTGTAAATATGTGTGATTGTGTGCATGTCACTCTGTGTAAAAAAAAAAGGAAAGGGAATGTGTGTGTGATGTCGGGGTTCACCAGTGGGCACCCCCAGAGCAGGGGCACTATGAATAAAAGCAGACCCCAGGACAGAAATGGGCCAGCAGCAGAGGCTACAACAGAGGGGTGCTGGGATGCATGGCTAACCCTCACCCCTCCCTGGAAAATAGAGCATCCGTTTGTTTTTTTTAATTGTGTTTTATTTCTGCATTCTTCAGATACACGTAGAATGTAAAGAGGGTAACAGGGATGGGGGAGCGAGGAGCATCGGGCAGGGCAGGTGCACAAAGGGGACAATGGAGTTAGTGGGTCCTTAGGGCTCCCTAAGGCCCCTTCAGTGCCGCTACTGGGGGGGGGGGGGGGGATGCTCGCGAGGGCAAGGGAACAACACACGCTAGTCCAGACCCACAGATCACAGAAGAGAGCGTCAAAGAAGGGGGCTTACAAAACAGCATAATTTTACAAAGACCTTACAATAGCGACATAGAAAAGGGGAGGCAAATTCCAGAAAGCTATAGAACAGGTAGATGATGTCCTTCAAATATTGTACAAAACAACCCCCCCCCCTCCGGCAGACTTTTCTATAGGTAGTTACTTTTTCAGTGTTAAGAAAACAAAATTTCACTTTCTCTCCTTACAAAAAATTTAACTGCTTTTCATTTAAATAGGGTTCCCCCCCCCCCATTTGATTTGAGTTTCCTGGTTCAGTTCCCAGAGCTGGGCTTCTTCCTCTCTCCCTTCCTCATCTCTTTCCTCTTCTACCCTTTCTCCATCCCTCACTCTTCCTCGTCCTCCTCGGCCTCTGCCTTGTCCTGTTCAGTGGTGCCGGGGCCTGCGGTCTTGTTCTCCTTTTTCCACTTCATGCGGCGGTTCTGGAACCAGATCTTGATCTGTCTTTCGGTGAGGCAGAGCGCGTGCGCGATCTCGATGCGCCTCCGCCTCGTCAGGTAACGATTGTAGTGAAACTCCTTCTCCAGCTCCAGCGTCTGATAGCGAGTGTAGGTCTGGCGGCCTCGCTTGCGGTCGGTCCCTGTGCCCAATATTTAGGGAGGAAAAAAAAAAATCAGTGCGTACGGGAAAATAAAGCCACGAGAGTTCCCATCGCTCTCTTAGGCCCTGTATGTGATTTGAAGTCAGTGGTTGGAAGAATCCATTTTTCCACTAAACCAAATTTTCACTTACCATACTCCAGCCTGGGCCTGCCCTCTTCCTCACTGTGCATTTTTTTTACAGGCCTCCAGAAGCAAATATTCCCATTTCCCAGTCAAGAAGTCTTCTGGTCTAGGGCTTCTGAACCCACCATCTAAACTGCTGGCTGTTAAAGGGGTGTATGTGGAATGCAGGGGCTGATCCTTCTATCACCCCCAGGACCAGGGACCCCAAGCCTCCCCTCTTGGATGCTGGCTGTGACGGTCTTTGAGGTAGGGACAATAGAAACCATGCAAGTGACCCTGAAGTAAGGCTCTAGGTCTGGCCTGAGTTCTTTATCCACCCCCCACCCCAAGAAAGGAGACAAAGAACCCTCACAGGTCCAGTCCTTTCCCTCCTTCCCTCCCCCCAGCCTGTTGTGAAATGAGGAGCTGGAGAGAATTTGCAGATTTCCTTGGAGCACGGAGTTTGCCTGAGAGCAGCTGCCCTCTGATGACTCTTTTCCAGCGAGTGGCTGAGGTTTTGACAGGGCCAGGCTCTCCCGCCTGCCCACCTGCCCAGACAACCCAGCTCTCCAAGCAACCTTCGGGCTTCCAGGAAGGCCCAGGAGGAGAGTACAGGCAGCAGCTTGGGTTGGGGTGGAACACAGAATATCCAGGTGGTGGGGGCTGAGTGGCAGACGAAAGCTTCCCAGGTTAGGCCCCAAACCCTGAGGAGGCTTGGGGGAGGTTTTACTGGGGTAGGTGCTGGTGCCAGCCCTCCAGAGAAGAAGCCTGTGGGAGGAGGGACTAGGGGCCCTAATTTCAAGTCAGATAAAAGCCAAGTTGAAATGTTTACGAGCAGAAAAATTTGGGCTTTGATAAATCAACTGGAAAGGCAGCTGAATTACAGAGTGGGGACCGTGACCACCAATACTGATGCTGTGAGAGCTGGGCTTCTCCTGGCCCTCAACCCTGGCTGGACAGGGAGCCTCTGACCACAAGGCTTGGGGCCTTCGGGACCTCGGGATTGGCCACTGAGCCTAGGGCAGCATTAGGAAGGTCGTCTGAGAAAGACCTTTGTCAGGAAACCCAATGGAGCACCTGGTCTCTTGGGGTTCCTGCAGCAACTGGTTCAGTGTCCTGTACTTTCTAACGCTTGACTGGGCTCCATAAAGTCCTAGTGCCTCCCCCAGGAGGACATTCACTCTTCTGGAATAATACCTGCAAACTTGGCCAGTTCTCCAGGGTGCTTAGGAGCCCTAGGAAGGGCACCTGAGGAAGCCAGTTGTGTTTCCATGAGGCCTCTGCCCTTTTCTCTAGTTCCCTTGCTGCCCCTTTCCCAAGTTCACTGGGGGGTCAGGGGCCTCATCTCTCTTGGCCTCAGCTCGCCCCCTCTTTCCACCTGCCTCTCTGGCTCTGTGTCCCAGGCTGGATCCTAATCTCTCATACCTCCTCCTCCTGCCAGGCCTCTAGAGCCCACCTCTAATTGTCCAGAAGGGAATAATGGGGGAGCAGGGTTGGCTGGGAAGGAAGGGGGAGGGGAGAATTGCTCCGTGTTGCAGCCCCCTCCCCTAGACCTTATCCGAGCCGGGACTGGGGGACACACCCAGAGCCAAGCTCCCCAGCGGGGGAAGGGAGAGGGGAGGGGGGAGGACCTTAATGGCTATTCTCTGCAAACCCCAGCCTTCCTCCGCAAGACAAACGGCCTCGTCTCCAGCCCGTGCCGGCTTGGCTGATAAATATTTAAAGCTAAAAGGCCGGGAGGAAGAGTGGGGGGCGAGCTGGGGGCTCGGAGCGCCGCGGCGTCGGCAGAGAGAGATCCGCCGGGAAGCAGAGCGAGCCTAAGAGCACCAAGCAAAAATGGGGGTGGAGGCAGCGCGCCGGGTCGCGGTCAAGGGGGTGCCGCGTCCCCAGGGCCCACCTCCTGCTGGGAGCACTGTGGACGTGCAAAGGGGCAGCTGGCCGGAAAGGGGGCGCCTTCCGGGGAATGTGCCCGGGCCACTGCGGCTCGGGACGGCTCGGTGCGCGGCGTTACCTGAGCTTCGCATCCAGGGGTAGATCCGGAAGTTACTCTCGGCCGCCAAGTCCGAGTCCCTCTGCTCCTTGGCGCCCGCCGCCTTGGCGGGGTCACCGGGACACACCCCGGAGAGGTTCTGCTCAAAGGGTGCGCAGTGCATGTTGAAGGAACTCGGCTCGAGCCCGTAGCCGGCCGCGTAGACGCCGGCTGCACTCTGGGCCGCCATGCCCCCCCCGCCGGGGTACAAGCCCTGCATCGAGGCTGCGAAGGAAGCGCCCGACCCCGCTCCATAGCCCGGGCGCGGGGGATTGGAAGCAAACGCACAAGAAGTTTGTTCGGGGAAGGCTCCGGTGGCGAAAACCGAACTTGCGGCTGGATATTTAGAAAATAAAGCATTCGCATAATACAATGAACTCATAATTTGGCCGGATGATTTGTAGGCAGGGACGTTTTAGTGTCGGTTTTACGAGATTCCTTGATATATTACAGAATTAGAGTCCAGATTTACACCAAAAAGGACCCCCTTTTTCCTCTCTGGACCACGTGACCCCTCCCACGTGACGTCCTCTCCGCCAATAGATGGGCAGCCTCCCCACAGCTCCCGGTAATGTGGAAAAAATTGTGTGGCGTTGGATTTATAAAATATGATCAATAATGAATGGGGAAGCCAAGCCCTGTGGATTGGGACTGGGGGCTCAAGGGCCGCTGTCGACCCCCGTGGGCTGGAGGCAGCTTGCAAGCGAGATTTGGAGAGGAAGGGTTTGAGTGGAAAGGAAAATAAATAGCCTCTGGGCGACCTATGTTGTCGCCCCCCACCTCTCCTCAGCCCGTTGCGCGGCGAGAAACAAACTCAGGGATTGCACGCAACGGGGCGGATGGGTGCGTGCAGGTCACATCTTTATTAATCAGGACCAGTTCGTCTTGGCTGGGCCTTTGGGGGAACTCAGCCCCGTTCTCCCAGGTGAGGAACGAGGTGAGCCTGGCGTCAGGCTCTCTCTCGGTGCCCCAGACACACGGGCAGGGAAGAAGCCAGGCTTCGTGGGTGTCCTAGGGGCGCGGGATTCAGCCCACGGGCGTTGAATGTTGCGGTTCTGGTGGCTTAAAAGAAAGTTTAAAAATTAAAAAAAAAAGAAAGAAAGAAAGAAAAGGAAGAGGGTGGAGTGGGTGGGAAGAGAAAGGAAGAGAGGAGGGCGGCTCGGTACAGTGCTGTTCTGGTTCCGGGAGGCGGATACCTCCGCTGAGAAGCAGAGGGAGCGAAGGCAGGAAGGCGGCGAGCCACGACCTGGGAGCTGGGCCTAGGTGGCCAAGTCCCAGTGAGGAAGAGGCAGGGAAGAGCAACTCACCTCTCCTCCTGCTCCCCCCACCGGAGTCCGGGAAAAATAAAAAATATATACGCTTGGTTTAGCAGCCCTGCACTCCACCTTCCTACACACACACACACACATACGAGAGAGAGAGAGAGAGAGAGAGAGAGAGAGAGAGAGAGAGAGAGAGAGAGAGAGAGAGAACACAGAAACAAAAGGGGGAAGGTGGTGAGGAGGATATAGCCACCAGTCCGGGCGCATCTCTCCAGCTTGGCCAGGTCTCGGGGTCTCCAGGGCCACGCAGCCTCCGAACGCGAAGGGTGGGGGTTTCTCTTGGCTCCCCTCCCTCGTTCCTCTCTCCTCCAATCACGCGCAGCCGCCTCCCTCACCCCTTGCGCCCCTGAGCCAAGGGACTCGCACCACCTGCCTCCAGCCCCCGCCCCCTCCTCTGCACCGCCTGGCCCGGCGGGCGGGCGCAGGAGGCCGCTGACCGGCTTCCCCCAGCTCTGCAAGGCGCCGGGAGCAAATGAGGAGCGCGGGCCCGGCCAGTCTCGGGTTCTCGCTTGTAAACTTTATTGTAACTCTTCCGCCCTTTTCAGGCGCAGACAACAGAACAAAGTATAGAGGAACAACAAAATATATAATTAGCCCTCCCTCCCCCCAATAAAGCAATTCACGGATACAGGATACATTCTCTTCACAGTAAACCTAAGAACACTTTTAACAATTGCCCACAGCGCGCATGCTAACTAAAGTAACCTCTTTTGAGAAACACTTAAGACAAAATTGTCAAACCAAAAAGGGGGGAGGAAAAGAGAGAAGCAAGAGAGAAAGCCAGCGAGCTAGGGAGGGCCACAGGGAGAGAGGGGTGGGAGGAGAAAATGAGGAGGGGGGAAGAGAGAGAGAAAGAGAGAGAGGGAGACAGAAAGAATTACGGCGTGAATAGGCAGTTTCATGTTGTTGGGAGAACTTAGCAGAAATCGGTACCTCGGTCATTACAAAGAAGCACGTTCAAAGGAAAAGAGACCATTGCACAAGGAGGCTTTTTACACGGGGCGGGGGCGGGGGCGGGGGGCTCAGCCAAGCCGCAGCCGCTCACCCTCGCTGGGCGAGGGAGTCCTTGCTTACAATCCTTGCCTTTCCCCACGGCCCCCAAGAGAAGGGAAGGAAATCCACGGTAGCTCACACACAGAAGCTATTACGAGATACTACCACTAGCGGGGACTGGCGCGGTGGGGACGCTGCGGTGGGAGGCCAGGCTCCAGGCCCCGCTCGCGGGACCAGAGCTCTCTCGGGCGGGGGCGGGCGGCGGCGGCGTGGTCGGGAGACCCGTGGACGGAGGACCGCCGCGGCCCTGGCAGTCCCAGTTGGAGCCTACTTCTTGTCGCCCTTCTGCGCGTCGCCCTCCTCCGCCGCCTCCGGGGCCCTCTCCAGCTTCTGTTTCTCCAGCTCCTCCTGCTCACATTTGCTGCTGGGGAACTTGTCTTTGTTGTTTTCTTTTTTCCACTTCATCCTCCGGTTCTGGAACCAGATTTTGACCTGTCTCTCTGTCAGTCCCAGCGCATGCGATACCTCGATCCGCCGCTTGCGAGTCAGATAGGGATTAAATAGGAACTCCTTCTCCAGCTCCAGGGTCTGGTAGCGGCTGTAGGTCTGTCGGCCTCGCCTGCGTCCGGCGGCTGCTGGGAATGGGGGAAAGGGCGAGACAGAGGGAGGGGAGGGTGGGGGAGGGGACAGAGACGGAGAAGGTTGGAAGATTCGTGAACCAGCCTTGGAGACCAGTATAATAAGGGCAGAGGAGACCTTCTACCCCGCGCGGGGGAGGGGGCGCTAGGAGGCCGCGGTCAGCGGGGGCGGGGGGGGGGTTGTGAGGGGGATCAGACACCACTGAATTTAAGGGAACCAGAAGGGGAAACCCTCTCCCCTGGTAACAAGCACCAGAGAGTGGGGTAGGGGTGGTTCAAATCTATTAAAAGTGCCATAAACTTTAGAAGGAAGGATGTGAAGGAGGGGGAAAATAAGAATAAAAAAGCCGGGATGGGAACGAATGGACCCACCTTGAAAAGCCCCCAGAGCCTCTGCCCCAGAAGAAAAGTTTCTTCAGGGTAATTAAACTATAAAGCAATTGAGAAGTGCAAAAGTTGAGCGCCCCCACTCCCACCACCCTCTCTCCACTACCCCCCATAAAACAGTAAAAGGGGAAAAAAGGAGGGGGAGAAGAAGAAAAGTAAGGCGGGGTGAGGGGTTTATGGATTCAGGAAATGTCTCTTAGAGAGCCTCCTTCAAGGGAAACAAAAAAAAAATGGAAAAAAAGAAAGGAAGAAAGAAAGAAAAAAAGGAAGGAAGGAAGGAAGAAAAGAAGTGGGAGGCCATCTGAACGGAGCAGGCAGAGCTAACGGGAGCTGGCGGAAATGCGCCCGGCCTGTCCGGCCCCGCGCCCGGCCTGGGGCCCTCAGGTCTCCCTCCCGCCCCGCCGCGAGCTCACCTTGCGGGCGCATCCAAGGGAAGAGCTGGGTGGGCGACGGGCTCTGCTCTGAACCCTCGGCCTCCTCGCCCAGGCCGCTGGCGGCAGCGAGCTTGCAGTCGGCGTACTGCACCAGATCTGGATCCTGTGCACCAAACAGGCTCTGCCGCTGCAGCGGGTCGTAGCCGTAGAAGTTGCCTGGGTCGCCGTGGCACGCCACGGCGCACGGGTTTTGCTGGTAGGGAGCCGTGGACAGCGACGACGGCCCGTGGTAGAACTCCTGGATTTGCGACGGGTGCTGGAAGCTGCCGCCGCTGCTGGGACCGTACACCACGGTGGGTCGGCCGCCCAGGTCCTGGGCGAAGCCGCAGTCATAATAATTGGGGCGCAGGGACTCCCCGGTTTTGTATTTGGAGAACAGTGAGTTGACGAAATAAGAGCTCATTTTATTGAATTTTGAAGCGGCGGCGGCGGCGGCGGCTGTAGTTGGGGGCTGTTGGGGAGGGGGTGGGGAGGGGGAAAGGGAGGGAGAGAGAGAAAAAAAACGCGGATTCGCCGGCTCCTAGTCACCCTCGCCAGGAAAGGAGAGGGAAAGGGAGGAGGAAAAAAAAAGAAAAGAAAGAAAAGGCGAAGAAGATCTCGAAGCCACCACACTTTTTGTGATTTCCAGGAATAGAAAAGGACAGCGAAGCCTCCAAAAGTCTAAGCTTGCATGGCAGCCGCGGCTCGCTCGCCCTCCCCCCACCCCCCACCCCCCAAACAAAAATATACCGCCACTTAAAGAGGTCCTCGCTTTACATTTCGAAGAAAGGATGCCAGTTCATAAACAGTTTTCGGTGATTTACTTCCCTGCAAATGAGTTGTTTCATATTTTGCACTGTCTTTTCATGATCATTTGCATCCATTAGAGACCCCGCATCCTATTGGCTTCTCCGTACTCCTCCCGGACAGAACGCAGAGCGAGGGTGAGAGCGAGGGAGCGAGCGCGAGAGAGAGCTGGAGCGAGAGCGCGCCAGGGAGTGAGGCGAGAGCGAGGGGGGACGGGAGGGGAAGGGAAAAACACCCAGGGAGAGGGGGAGCGAGAGAGGGGGCGAGGCGAGGGGGTGAGAGAGAGTGAATACGGATTAAATCTGGTTAACTACCTACATTAATGAGATATCTCTCTCCTCGCAACAAATCAAATACCTTCGCAGACCACCCCCAAAGACTGATGTGGGGGAGTCACGGAAAAAAACCACGCACACACACAGGCACAACGCGCCCGGCGTAGGCACGCTGTTAATTTCGTGATTTTAACGAGGCAGTTGGAGTCTTTTTAAATGTCAGGGTCGCTTCGGAAAAATGTAAAAGAACACGGTTTAATTGCGCCGAGTTTTAAAAGGTCCTATAAATGTAATTGGTATTTTAATACAAGTTATCAAATCATACAGCTTCCTCTCCTAAACATATTTTCAAACAAACGAGGTAGTCATATTTAAAGCTTTAATGATCAATTTCCTTATTATTGATAAAGGTTTAACTATCCTGTGGAGGGAATTGGCTGGGTAACCGGCCCCCCCCCCCCAAAAAACGGCTGTAAACTCTTTAACAAACTATAAAACGCAATAAAGCCGGAGTCTGTTGTTGTTTATGCCGCAACGCATAAAAGCT